TCAGTACATTTTTTATATTTCTACTTATTTATTAATTTTTTAAAATATTTTTCACAAATTTTTTACTTTTTAGATACATTTATAAATAAGGTACATCTAAAAAAAGTAAAAAAACAATATTTAAAATTTTTAAAAAAAATTATTCACTAAAAACAAAAAACACAAAAATTAAAAAACTCAATTTTCAAAAAATTTAACCCAAAAAATTCAAACCAAACACACTACTCTGCCCAGTTTGTTTTTTGTTTTGGTTTCCGTGTTTGTTTGTAGACTATGCCCCAGAACTGTTTTGGTAGTCTTGATTGAGATATTAATTTAATATCATTTGCATGCTGGTTTGTAATTTCTAGTCTTCTCCCATTATTTTCTAGCTATTAGATATTCAATTGAATTTACATGAGAGCCCGTTGTTACATATATGAGTTCTTGGTTACAAATTCATGTTTAATTGATATATAACTCATGGCAATAATTTTTTAATTTGACTATTTGTAATTATAAATTTTTAAGGTTTTGTAACTTGCCTAATTTATTTACATATTTAGTGTGTAAATTAAATTGTACATTTAGTTTTGTAGTTTTAAGTTTTATATGTGTAACTTATATTGCATTTTATTTTTCACTTAATGTGCTATTCATGATAATGCTTGAAGGGTTAAATACAAAGTTTTTAATTAGTTACTTTGTATTATGTTGTGGTTTGTTACTAATTTTTTTCGTAGGCATACCTAAGCGTGGAAAGGATCTTTGGACTACTTACAATTCTCAATTGGATTGATTTACTCATATTTTATTTGAAGCAATTGTTTGCTTGAGTTCTATTGTGGTTATTTACTAATTTGTAGAAGCAAGTTTGTTTGCTTGTATTGTTAGAAGCATTTTATTTACTTAATCATTGGTTAACAATTTTTAAATTATTTGTAAGTTTGAAGCTTGGTTTGATTTTCAGTAATAGAAACCAAAGTGTTTAGCCTTGGCTACAGAGTATTTCTTATTTGTTCAGAAATGACAATTAAGACAGATTTGGTTTCAAACCTTTGGGGTTTGATGAAATTTTTTGGTTTAATCATTGTATTCCCAAAGTGTTAGAAAACTAAGTTTGGAGAAAGTCTTTGGTTATAATCTGATTATTTCTAAAGTGTTTTGGTTTTGAGAAAAGAAACCAAATTTTGGCATTAATTAAAATATTTTTGATTTTTATTCATAAATAATGGGTTCAATTCCGGGTATACCGATTAACTTTTATGAGTGGTGTAATTCTGGTAACAAATTTTATTTGCTTGGGAATTCATTTGTTTTAACTTGGTTTATCCATTGAAAAACTTAATTCTAAAATTGTTTCACACGGATTAGGAGTCAACATGCTCTTGAAAGTTTTGTCAAAAGGTTAACTGGATTTTAAGTAGGACTGATGACCCCTCCAGTCTTCCTGGAAACATTCCTGACCATGTTCGATTATAAGTTAAGTGGTGAGACTAGTTTTGAATTAAATTTCCAACTGTTGGATTTTTTAGTGTTAAGTTTAATTTCTAGAAACATAGAAAGTGAAATTCTATTGTAATTTTTCAGAAATGGCTTCAAGAGGTGACAACAGAAATGTTATTCCATCTGACAACCTTAAGCCTTGCGAGATTCTTAAAGGAAGATCTAGAGAGATCAAGTGTAATTAACGAAAATCATAAAATTGTATGATAATATCTTTGAATTAATCAGAGGCGATTAGTATGTTATCCTTGTGTCAACTATAGCATATATGATTGCTATATAGCTTTGTTTGAAAGCAAAGATAAGACAACTTATTAGGGTAGGTGAATATATTTTTGAATTTTTTAATTCCAAATATATTCTTAAATTTGTGGTTCTTAGTGATTACCTGATCACTGATCACAGTGATAGAAAACTAGTGGTTCCTAGAAGGTGTTACACCACTGGCTACACAGTTATGAGATTGTGGTTCCTAGTAATGAACAGATTACTGATCACATGTCAAGATATGATGGTTCCTAGTAGTGGAAAGGCTACTGATCATATGTCAAGACATGATGATTCCTAGTAATGAAAGAGTCTATTGATCCTATATCAAGATGTTGTGATTCCTAATAATAAAGTGACTACTGATCACAGGTTAAGACATTGTGATTTCTAGTAATAGAAAGTCTACCGACCACATGCTGAGAAATTAGTGATTCCTAATTATAAGACTACTGGCCATGTTATGAAGTTCTGAATAGTAGACTATTGAACACTAGATTTATGTTTCCTAATAGTAAGACTATTGGTTTCAGAGTGATAAGTTGGACCAAATATATTTAGATGCCTAATTCGATTGATGACATTCTGAGAATATATTTACTGTCATATAATTTTGAGAGTTTCATAATCATTTTGACACAAAGTAGGTTCATATTTTATTCAACGTGAGAGATGTCCTACTAGTACATGTTTGGTACAAAGTAGGTTCATATTTTATTATTAATAACTTCCCTAATAAATTTACTCATCGGTATACAGTCTCCCTGTAACGTTTAAGGTAAATTATTAAGAAGTCTTAATAGTTTGATCTAATTTTAATTAAATTTTATTAAAAATAAGTTTTAACAAAATTGTTATTAAAATTTTTTGTAACAATTTTTTACAAATATCTCTAAAAATTGACAATTAATAATTTTTTTTGTCACGATTTTTATACATTATTGATAAAACTTATAATCAGTGACTTTTTTTTATAATAAATTTTTTAAATTGTTGCTAAAATTAAAAAATTAATAACATTTTTTATAACAATTTTTTTGAGGGATACTTTTTCATAAATTCCTTTTCACTTACTTATGTTCCATTTAGTCCACATTATTTTCTTATATTCCAATAAGTCCTACGAGTGACATAGTTACCAAAATACTCTTAATAATATTCACATTTACAGTGTGAATGTTCCATAATGTAAATATTATGTGAATGTTCTCACCATCAATATAAATGTTAATATATCAATGTGAACATTCACACTGTCAATGTGAACATCCACCTTGTAAATATATGAATGTTTATATCACCAAATTGCTAACCGTTCAAAAAATATTTACAATGGTAGAAATGTCCATAAAATACTTTAAATATGAGAATTATGATTTCGTAGATCAAATGTTCAAATAATAGGATTTATTGAAAAATAAGAATATTTTATGAACTAATTAAGATACAAATACTTGAAAAGAAATTTTATAATAAATCTCTCTTTTTTTAAATTGTCGTCAAAATTTATAATTAGTAATATATATATATATATATTTTTTTAATGATAAAAGGATAAATTACACTGACACCCCTTAAGGTTTATGTTTATTACAATTTCTCCCTCAACTTTTGAAAATTACATCTCCCTCTCTGAGGTTTAAAGTTTCATTACAGATTCCCCCTCAGCAATTTAAATTTTTTAAATACCAATTTTATCCTCGCTGGATAAATTACATTGACACCCCTCACATTTTAGAAATTACAATCCCCTCCTTAAGGTTTAAAGTAATATTACCAATTGCCCTCTCCATTAATACTAGTTGGGAAAAAAAATTCATTGAAAACAAAATTTAATAGGGAAAAAAATTAATTGAAAAAAAATTAATTGAAAAAATTTTTGTTAGTAAAATTTTTAAATTTCTATTTAAAAACCAACGTAAACTCATTTTTTGAATTTACGTTTTTTTCTCAAATTTACAAACTGAGACAACAATTTATAAACCAAAAAAATTATCAAACAAGTTTTTATGATAGTTTTTAAAATTTTTGTAAATATAAATTGAAAATTGAAAACAAAATGGTTACCAAATAGGCCTTAGATGGTAAAAATGACGTAAAATTAACAAATAATTAAATAAGTTACCAACATAAGAAATGACTTAGCAAAAGATTCTTAGGTTATGTATGGTTTGATTTTTAGAATTTTTTTTAAAAATTTAAAATTAATTTGGTTAAGAAATAAAAAATAAAAAATAATTATCAGTTAAGGGTAAAAAACAATTATCATTTTAACTTTTGGGCAGGTTATATAAATTCGTACGGCTATTTTAATTTAATTTGTAAAAAATTATTTCTAACCACTCGAAAGATAAAAATCATATAAAAATGATAATTATTTTTTATTTTTTATTTCTTAACCAAAATTAATTTTTAATTTTTAAAAAATTTTTCTAAAAATCAAACCATACATAACCTAAGAATCTTTTGATAACTTATTTCTTATGTTGGTAACTTATTTAATTATTTGTTAATTTTACGACATTTTTACCATCTGAAACCTGTTTAGTAATCATTTCGTTTTTAGTTTTAAATTTATATTTACAAAAATTTTAAAAACTGTCATAAAAACTTGTTTGATAATTTTTTTTGGAGTTTATAAATAGTTGTCTCAGTTTGTAAATTTGAGGAAAAACGTAAATTCAAAAAATGAGTTTACGTTAGTTTTTAAACAGAAATGTAAAAATTTTACTAACAAATTTTTTTTAATTAATTTTTTTCCAATAATTTTTTTTTTCCAACTAATATTAATCGAGGAGGCAATTGGTAATACTACTTTAAACCTTAGGGAGGGGATTGTAATTTTTTAAATATAAGAGGTGTCAATATAATTTATCCAACGAGGATAAAATTAATATTTAAAAAAATTAAATTGCTAATGAGAGAATCTGTAATAAAATTTTAAATCTCAATAAATGAGATATAATTTTTAAATAGTGAGAAAAGAAACTGCAATAAACATAAATTTCAAAAAGTGTCGGTGTAATTTACTCTAAAATGTTTTAATATATCATTAAAAATTAAAAAATACTTAGAAACACTAAAAAGAAAATACTAAGGGAAGCACTAAAAATATGACAATAGACCCCGTCCACTCTCTAATCCTTGTTAGTTTTTTTATAAGTAATATATTTTTTTAAGTGATTTAAATCATTATTTTTAAAAATTAATTATCATACCAGATGTAAATATTACACACCTCCCCCACGTTTACTACCTACCTATCCCCCTCCAACCAACGAAGGAGAAAAGCTACCCTTCTTCTACACACTCCTCTCAAAGAAGTCTTCTTCTTCTTCTTCTTCTTCCTCCTCACTCTCGATAACAAACCCTTCCTTCTTCCCCGGAAAATTCAAAACTTCCGGCAATGAGGCCCGCTGGAATTCTCGCCGGACTCTTCCTCCTCCTCGCTCTCTACTGCGGAATCGACCCCTTCAAACACAGCGCAATCTCCGACTTCCCTGACTTCGAAACCTACAAGGTCGAAATGCCCGAATGGTCCGATGTTCCTGCGATGAAAGACTCCGAGAATCTGTTGCAGAAATCGGAAATTAAGTTTCTGAATCAGATTCAAGGTCCGGAAAGCATGGCGTTCGATCCGCAGGGCCGTGGACCCTATACTGGTGTTGCTGATGGGAGGATTTTGTTCTGGAATGGCGATAAGTGGATCGATTTTGCGTATACTTCGCCTAATCGGTGAGTTTTGGTAATGGGTTTTTGATTCCTTCTTTGTTTTGATGTTCTTGTTGTTATGCTAAAAATTTTGTTTGATTATCTTCTTGTCTGGAACCTTTTTTTTTTGGCTATTGTTGTTGTTGTTTTTCTGCGAATTTTAGTTATTTTCGGCTTGATTATTTATTAGTTTCGAATGTTTTGCTGCAAATTTGCGTTGTTTTGGGTTTGATTATATGTTTGTTTCGAACGTTTCATTTTGGAGTGTGGATTCTCAAGTTGGAAACTTGAGAGAACAGTTTTGGGCTTTTGGTGCCCATTTTGGACCCGACTTGGGTAATTTCAACAGTTCACTTGGATTCATTGAATAGAATGTTTATGCATTTATATATTTTAAATCACATGTACACTATAAAAAGTGTAAATTACAAATAGACTCCTGAGGTGAGATGAGGTGAGGTTTGATTAAAATACGAATCATTTTGGTTTTGAAAATTATATTCTACTCCTGAGGTTTATAATTTTATAACAAATCGTCCATTTTATTAATAAATTATCAACTCAATTAATAGTTTTTAATGATATTAGAAATATGTTTCAATTAATAATTTAGGTAATTTTATTATTGTATAGGAGAGCAATTATGAATTTTATTTTTTTAGTTAATTCTATTAAATAAAAAATACTAACAAGGAGGTATTTGTAATTTTTCAAATCACGGAGGCAATTTATACTTTAAGCAAATCTTAGGTGGTGTATTTGTAATTTACCCTTATAAAAAATACTCGATTGTTCTTAAAATTATATTTATCTAACAACTATTAAAAAAATAACAGTTGAGATCACCCAGATCGGCTTCAAAATAGGCCCCCAACCCCTTTGGTTTTCTTCTTGTTCTTCTTTCTCAAGTTATTGCTGAAAGTTTGTACTGCTTACCCGCAGGATTGATAAATTGATGGGGTATGGATACCATCACAAGTGTTTTTATTTTTTTATTTTTTATCTATGAAAAATAGATACGATCATGCTTTGTACTTTTTAACGTATGAACTTCAATTTGTGCATCATGAAGCTCTTGGTAAAGCTGTTAGTTCAGATTGTTTTTTAAATAATATGAGGAAGGGATTTTACAATATGATGAAGGAAGAGATATGATAGGAAAAATGGGAAAATGTTAGTTAGTTCCATAATACCACGGGTGTTATGGCTGGCATGGTGTTTCTGGAAAATGAGGAACTGCAAAACATAGTTAGTGTCTCCGAACTACCGAAGAAATGTGGGTCAGCATTGTTCTATCCATAAAATTTCCTGCTACATTATTGGTTGGTTGTACTATGTGGATAATGGCCCCATGATACTCCAAAACTACCTAATAATTACTTGGAGAAATATGTGATGAGGCTGCAAAATCAGAGAGCACCATTTTATTCTTCACAAAAATAATAATAATAATAAAAAATAAATATTTAAAAAATCATAGAGCACCTTTTTATTCATGATCATATACAGCTTCTGATTTGTGGCATTTATTTCTCTTTATATTCAGTATCTAGTAGGTTTTGTCTTACTTGCCTTGACCTGGAATTGTTTGAAGTAGAGTCCTATGTCTTTTGCTTTGAGATTGGAAATAAATGAATATAAGAATATTATGACCAGTGGAGATTTCAGTCAAAAATAAAAAGGGGAATTACCATTCAGGGTTTGTTTTAAAAAATTATTATACATTAGTGAAAAAGCTTATAATTGTAATTATTAATTAATATTTATAATGTTTACCACTTTTTTTTAATTATTTTTTCTTTCCACCACTAATCTGTTATTTGCCCAAAATAAAAAATGGTTTCTTATTTATTTATTTTTTTGGTCGATGGAGGTTAACAGTTATGGTTCCTCCTTTATTGATGTCAATGACAATCTTGAATTTACACTTTGTGCTTTACTTCTTTTTTTATTTTTTATTTTTATATTTTCACATATACATGGGATTTTTAACCAAAAATAATATATCACCCTGTTTGATTTTCAGTATTCAAAAACAGTTTTCTGAGTTTTCAATTCGTATTTTTTTTTATATTTTTAATATTTTTTAAATTATTCTAATCATTTTTTTTAAAAATTTTTAGATTGACCTAATCTTAATATGCTTAAAAACAAAAAAATTCATTGAATACAAAAAATATGAAAATATATTGAATTTTTTTTTTATTTTTTTATTTTTTGAATTTAGTGATTTTTTTTAAGGTTTTTTTTTTTTTTTTTCCCACAAATATTATACTTTTTAAGTGTGTTTAGGTTAAGTTCACGGTTTCGGTTACCGCAACCGTTTCACTACGGCCTTTACACCTCGCAACCGCAACCGCGTCACCGCTACCGTTACGACGACCGCAACTGCTTTTCAGAACCTTGTTCTGGAACCAAAAATGGTGATTATTTTGTTTTACAAAGAATAACCATTGTTGCCAATATCTTGCATGGAAATGCCTGCTGGGGATGTAGAGAGCGAGAGGTCTCCCTTCCTTGGTTGGCTCAGTGGCGATCAGGTAGGATAAGACCCTCCGTTAATTTTCCACCAAATGGCTGCAGTTGTCACATGACGACTCCCAACTAACTGGAAGACAAAGAGTTTCAAATTTTGCTACAAGTATTAATTTGATAATTGTGCCATTCCTGATTATTTTTAGGGTGAACTTTGATGTAATTTTAGTGATGTAGATTTGATGAATTCTTGTTGGTTTGGCACTGCAATGGAAATGCAATCACTTGATCCAAGTTATTTATACCAAATCATAGGATCCTGAAGGGCTTTGAGAATAAATGTTTAAATGCCTAACTTGTTCGCACCATTACTCACTTCTAAGTTCTAAACCCGATACCTTTTTTTTGTTTCTTTATTTTGTTTGCAATTGTTAGTAGCTGAATGTTTGTATAAAGATACTTTCCGTAGTAATGTATACTGAATCCTCTGATACAAGTTATTTATGCTAATTGAAATTGACCATGCACAGAATTTAAGGAAAGCACCTTTGAATAATAAATTTACATGAAATTGAGTGAAACCAAAGGCAATAAGATGCTAAGGATTGAAGACTTTTGGAATATGCGGTGGCTTATCGGACTACATCCTAGGAGGCGTCGGTGAATATGGCTGCGATGTATCTTGATGGTTCAACCAAGTTCTGGTGGCGGACCAAAAGACATAAAGAACATAGAGCGTGAAGTGCAATTAGATCCATTTTGGGGATGAGTTTCAGGCAAAATGTTGGGTTCCTTCCCCGTTGTGGTCTGCCATGTTGATGAGCCTGAGGCAAACAAGCCCCATATGCTAGTATGTCAAGGCCGTGTTTACTGTTTATGTCTCTTGCATGACCACTTGATGAAATGTGGAAGGAAGTAGGGAAGGATTCCTCTTTGGCTAATAGGTACTTTAACTGGTATTCCTATGATCGGTTCAATAGGTCTTTTCTTATAAGGTTCATATTCCGGATTGGGTTCATCCTTGTAGTAATCGAATGAATTGGGTTGTGCCTATTCGGAATGAAATGACAAAAGAACCGGGCTCGTAGTTCTCCCTAGACATTTTTTTTTTAAGATGGAAGAGGACCGGCTCCTCAATTCCATGAAAAGGCTCCAACCTGCACCAAACTGTTCAAGATATAGGGGCAGCAGAGACAGCTAGCTTGCTAGATTGAAAGTACATTGCCAGGGAGATAAATTTTTGGAAAATTGGTATTATATTTAATAAAAATTTAAAGAAGGGTAATGTGGGGAACTGATAATTGAACTTTTTGAATTTTGAATTTTACATGTGTCACTTAGCGATAACTTAGCTTAGGCATTTTAACATGCCTGATTAGAATGTTTGACAGGCAATTTGTTGACAGAAAATGAAGCAAGAAAGTTTAATTACTGAGTTATTTGACACGCCAAATGTAATAGAGTGAGTTAGTTGGTTTCTTATTTGAAGCCTAAATAGCTCCCAGAGGCAATCAGCAAATGAAAATGGGTGGTGTGGGTGTGTTAGTGATTGGATGGATGAGTGTTTCTGTGTATGCATATGGAGGAAGAGGTAGAGGTATGGGTCATAACATGCTATCATGTCTTGGAAGAACATATGTGATCTTAGCAAGAATGAATGAAAGACAATGCTCCAGGGATCCCATAGTTTCTTTATCCATGTTGCAAATGGGAGAGAGAATGAGAGAGATGTATGGGCAGCATAAATTGCCTCCATCTGTTAGTTTAAAAAAAAAAAAATTGTTTTGCCTAAGAGCTACTGGTTAGAGCAAGTCTAGTTATTTCCATCCCAAGTATTCAGATGTTTATTTGTATTTTTTTAAGGAAAGCTTTGATTTGGTACGGCTTTTTGAGCTTTTGAAACTGTCATTCTTTTGTTATGTCTTTCAGATTGAGTTATAAATGTCTTTCCAAGATCTCAGCTTGTTTTTCACTTTTGGTCCCCACATATCTTAAAGGTTTCATTAAAGCAAATGAACTTTGAAATTTTTGTGATTGTTTAATAGTCAGAACAAAATACGTGCATGTTGCATAGTTTTCAAGCCATGATTAATAGTTTTGTTGTTTCTCCTGAACTTCTATGGATTTCAGGTATTAAAAAAGAATTGATTATTGTTAGAATTTACCATCACCTAACCCACTACACCACTACCACCTCACCTACTCCACTAAACCTAACCCACTACACCACTATCACCATCCATACTCCACTAAACCTAACCCACCACCTACTCTCCACCTACTTCACCCACTCTCACCTACTCCACTAAACCTAACCCACCACCTACTCTCCACCTACTTCACCCACTCTCACCTACTCCACGGGAAAAAAACATTAAAAGGTAGTTTATGTAATATTATTCTCCAAATATCACTCGATTTTATCCACATGCAAACTGAAGAAATTTTCTCCCCTCTGCCTCTTCCCCTCCATGGAAAGTCAGTTTAAAAGATATGCAAATAAAGGAATGCCATTATTTTCTGATCAGTTGGACCTGTGGTTTTCTCTATGGCAGAGAGACTTACCCTTACTACAAGATTTTTTTGTTTGAAAAATTATATTAAGGAATAATATACTAGCATGTGTCTACAATTTGCTGGTTAGCTATGAGCATGATCCGATACTCTTTTTGTTCTAACTAGTGGTAAGTTGCTTCATTAATAGGCCAGTAGAATTTATTGTTTGGCTGGTGTGCAATTAATGAAATTTGTTAAACAAGTCATTTGGGTTTGGCAAACTCTTTTTTAGCACTTTTTTATTGATTTTTTTTTGACTTTGGTGAACTCTTTTTTGAAGTTTTGGTCATTTTTTTTAAGGTCTTTCTGGACTAGAAGGTCCTTAGTTTTTTTTTTTTTTTTTTTTTTTTTTTTTTTTTTTTTTTTAAATTTTAATGAAACAAATTTGGAAAAAAAAAATGATATTTTTTTTAACCTTTTTTTTTTGTGTTCTTGTCATTGTCACCTATATAAGTGGTTTCCAAATGAGGGTGTTAGCATTTTTGTCTAAAATAGTTAAAAAATTGCTATATAAGCGGTTGACAAACACCTTCCAAGAGAGAAACTTCTTCTGGTTCACTGTGCTTGCTTATTTTTCATTTAGGAAAAGCTTTCAGTCTGCTGTGTTCTTGTTAAATTCTTGAAGATATTCTTTTTATGATGCTTTGTCTGAAATTTAATCCCTTTTTAACCATATATGATTTGGGATTCAGGTCATCACTATGTGACCCAAAGCCATCGCCTTCGAGCTACCTGAAGAACGAGCACATATGTGGCAGGCCTTTGGGGCTTCGATTTGACAAGAAAACAGGTGATTTGTATATTGCGGATGCATATTTTGGGCTGATGAAGGTTGGGCCTGAGGGTGGACTGGCAACATCACTAACAAATGAGGTGGAAGGAATGCCACTGAGGTTCACTAATGATCTGGACATAGATGACGAAGGAAATATTTATTTCACGGACAGCAGCACCAAATACCAAAGGCGGTAGGTTTTTAATTCTATTCTGTTTTCAAATGCCGGCAATGTATGTGTTAAAGTTGCTGCTTGAAGTCATTGAATTTGTGAGCAAAGCCCTACTAAGTGATTGGCCAATATTCACAATTCTATGGTGGGTACACCCCTGATGATTGTGCATAACTTTTTAAGTTCAGCTAAAGAAGGCACATGTTTTTTTGAACTTCTTTTGTCTTTCGTGATTTTTTGTTTTATAGATTTGTGTCAAAAAAATTTACAATTCAGGTCTGTCTAGTCTAGAAGGATCTAAAAAGTAAAAGAAATTTGAAAAACCCAAAAAAATTCCGACTTTTTATGCTTTTTTTTCATCTTTAGTGGACTTTTTTTTTTTTTTCAAAAGGTTATTTTTATTTTGCACTTTCCAAGTTGGTCTAGTGAAGTATAACCTAAAAGTGTAGAGTTGTTTTGAAATTTTTTTAAAAATGTTCACTAGTGATGAAAAAAAAAAAAAAAAACTAACAAAAAAGTTGCTAAAAAAGCACTTGCCAAATGCTGTAAACAGAAGTTGAAATTTGGTTTCATGCATCAGGTATGGTGAAAGCAGGAGGCACATGTTTGTGGTGTTTTTATTCTGAACTAAGAAATTAAGTGAGGAAATTATCCTGAATGAATTTATAATGGCAATCACGCTTCTTTCTTTTTTATATTTAGGCTTGGTTTGGCATGTTTGAAAAAAGTCAAAAAGTCACTATCCTATTTAAGTCACATCATCTTATTTAAGTCACACAACCTCTCTAACCCATCACTTCAAACTCAATCCAAACCCAACCCATATTTCATAAAAAGTCAAAAAGTACACTTATTTAGATCATCTCAAACAACCCCTTAGTTTCTTTGAAAGGAAAAATAAATAAGTAGATGCACTTACATTGTTGTTACTCAATTCATTATTGAAAAGATAAATTCTTTATCAGAATTAATACTAGATCTCTGATCAGATTCCCTTTATTACTAGCTTAAACCTTTTCACGTTATTTAACTTATTATAATTAATTGGTCTAGAAACCCTTCAACTTGATACCCGCAAGTTGTTGAGAGCAGCCCCTTTAAGCCAGCTCTTAGGCCCTGTTTGGTGCAGCTTATAGATTTTGTTTTTTTTTTGGAAATCTATTCTAGTGTTTGGTGTAGCTTCTACTGACAGCTTATTAGGAAGCAATCACTAAAGTAAGCTGGAAAAAAGCTTGTTATTGAGAAGCAAGGAAATGTGTGCTTTTAGCTTCTACTTTCTAATTATTAATTTATCAGCTTTCAACTTGCAAGAAGTTCCACCAAACAACCTCCTATTATGTTATGGGGAACTTAACTGCACTTGGATGCTGTTTCTTTGTTGTGAATAGCTGTGTTTTGATCATTATCCTAGACTCCTAGTTCTTTAATGGTATTTGTTTTCAGGAACTTCATGCAGTTGGTTTTCTCTGCGGAAGATAGCGGGAAAGTTCTGAAATACAATCCCAATACCAAGGAAACCACCGTCCTTGTTCGGAATCTCCAATTCCCTAATGGTGTGTCCCTAAGTAAGGATGGTTCATTTTTTGTATTCTGTGAAGGGTCTGTTGGCAGGTAAATCTGTTCACTTATTGAAATTTTGCATGGGCATGACTCATAACATGGTAGTCCTCACATGTTAGCATAATCGGCCACATATATAACTAAGACCTGCATGAGAATCACCCTGAACAACTGTTGACATTGCTGTGGTACAGATGTTGCGCCCATTACATGTCCAATTTTTTGTGTGATAGAAATGTAGCTACCAATTAACTCTGTTGAGTGCTTTCCATATGTTTCGTGTTCTGTTGTGCATATATGATATATATATATATATATTTTGTTGATCTCCTTTTGTATTAGTTAATTGTATGACTTGTGTGTTGATATTGATGACTTGTGTGTTGTGATCATGAAGGATTTTGTTGCCCTTGAACACTACCAAGCAACCAGCATCTCGTACTAAAATGAAAAATAAGTGTTTTGTAAAAAAGAAATGACAAATAGGTGTTATATTGTGGGGAGATGCTATAATGTGCACCCCCAAAAGAGTGCATATGGGATTATCAAACTCAAAACAAGTATGTATGTCACAATATGGGAGAAATCTACAATGTGGTAAAGTTATGAATAGTGAATTTATGTTGTGCACTATAAAGTAATGAATGGTGAAATTATGACACTTTGTGATTTTTGTTATGACATTTTTGTGGTGAGAAAAAAAATTATAACATTTTAATTTTGTGAAAAAATTACAAAGTGCATGCCATATGCACTCTTTTGGGGGTGCACATTATAGCCTCTCCCGTAGAGGCATCTTCTCCCGTTTTGTGGCATAAATACTTGTTTCGAATTTGATGATTATAGAGACAGATTATATAATGTAGTACATCATTAACCAAGGAAGTAGAGGCATAGGTGTCAAAAACCCCGGTTTTTGACTAAATTACTTGCAGGCACTTGTGAACTTCTACGGCGTTCATTATGAAACTGGGCTTGTGAAATTTCAATTTGACAATGGGAATTATGTCAATAATATTTTACATGTTGTCTTCTATTCTTTTTTTTTTTTTTTTCCTGATTGAAAAATATTGGTAACCTTATATTTCTTAAACCACTGACCATGATAAAATAGTTTTCTTTTGTGTCTTCTAAAACACACATTGTTGAGTTCTTGTGATAGAATCTCAAAGTTGACAGTCAGTGGGTTTGATTTCTTTAAGTTATATAGAGTTTTGTGAGATTTGAACTAAGATACTTGCCTCCTCTAAGACATAGGTACAAAATGATGTGGCCAGGTATAAATACATGAATTGGGCTGATTTTGTTAAATATCTTCCTTGAAAAGCAATACATAATTCTTACTTTGTGACACAATCTTCAATGAGATATGAAAATTTTCACTCAATTGGCTATTTCCAGTTTTCTCATGTGATCTTCACTATTTGTTTGTTCTCCCTAATATGAAATTTTATTGGATGTCTAATTATTACAAGATAATTACTTTAGAAGTACATTAAATTGTTATAATATAATGTATTCAAAGTCCACATTTTAAAGCATATGATGTTACTCGTTCCGGTGCAATTTATGTTCCAGGTACCGTAGCTTTGCTATTGTCATTTACCTTCAATTTTTCTTGGTTTTTGGTGATGTAGATTACGTAAGTATTGGTTGAAAGGCAAGAAAGCAGGGACCTCAGAAGTTATGGCTGTCCTACCTGGATTTCCGGACAACGTCCGAACAAACGACAAAGGTGAATTTTGGGTAGCAGTCCACTGTCGCCGCACCTACTACACTTACCTATGCGCTTTATACCCAAAAGTACGGAAATTCTTGCTAAAACTGCCGATCCCGGCAAAGATTCAATACCACCTCCACACAGGCGGGAAGCTCCACGCCGTAGCTGTGAAGTACAGCCCAGAGGGTGAGCTAATACAGATATTGGAGGACAGTGAAGGCAAGGTTGTTAAAGCAATTAGCGAAGTGGAAGAGAAGGACGGGAAGCTGTGGATGGGAAGTGTTTTGATGCCTTTTGTCGCGGTTTACAAATTATAATGAGGGTACGGAACCTCCTTGTTATTTGTTTTTTTTTCGATGGTACTGTTGCTCATTTTGATTTTGGAGGTTTCTTCTCCTCTTATGTGCTTTTCGGCTTAGGTAGTCTCTTTTTAGGGCTGGGATTTGAATCTTTTACCTATAGATGTTGTAAGTCTTGGTTTATCCTGATTAGGGCTGCAAATGAGCCGAGTTGAGCCGAGCTTTAGTGTGTTTGGGCTTGTTTATTAAGATTTTAACGAGCTCGAGCTCGAGCTCGAGCGGAATAAAAATTTAACGAACCGAGCTCGAGCCGAGTTGGCTTAGGCTCGACTCGAGCTCGAGCCTGTTCACAAATCTTAACGAGCAAAAAAATTTATAAATTCATTCTTGCATGTGAGACTACAGTTACAATTAAAACTTTGATTATACAATTATATATACAATATATATAAACATACTAAAAAAAAGTTCATATTTTACTAAAATAATAATATCTACTACCACTATTATATAAATATACTATGTATAGTTAAGTATTATTTAAATATATATTTTTTAAATATATAAATAGCATATTTCTCTTGTTTTTTATACATAATTTTATATTATTTAATATATAAATAATAAATATTAAACGAGCCAGCTAACGAGCCGAGCTTACGAGCCGAGTTTTAGACTGTTTGGGCTTGTTTATTAAAAATTTAATGAGCTCGAGCTCGAACGGCAAAAAAAATTAATGAACCGAGTTCGAACGAGCTCTCACCGAGCCGAGCTCGAGCTTGTTCATGAACGGCTCTGTTCATTTGCAGTCCTAATCCTGATATCGTGACTTTTTTAATGCATCTAGGCCATGTTTGTTTGGACGGACATGTGCTTGGGATTGGACTAATAGTTCAGTAAAATTATTAATCCGATGTTTGGTTACAAAATTGAAGTACGGGGTAACAATTCATTTGGATATGGTATCTCACATATGATGACTATTCAATCCCACATAAGGGGTGAGATATAAATTGGGGGACTAAGGCCTGGTATGACAATCGAACTTTTTAGTCAAAAAGTCAAAAAGTTACTAAATTAGTCAAAAAGTCAACAATTCATACAAAAAAGTCAAATATTTTCTTCTCTCTATTTTTTGCACATTTTTTCGTAAAAAGCTAAAAAGTCATCCCAAACATACTAGTTTTTTTTAGCTCATATTTTAGTCAAATAGTCAAAAGTTACTAAATTAGCTTGTTCTCAAATGAGACCTAAGTTGAAGTCTGGACTAACTTATCAAATGATCATAATAGAGGTATTATAATCAATATATTGGATGTTTCATGTCCTATCCATTTCAATTCTATTAAACAAACATCGGATTGGATAATATTTTATTAATCCCTCTTAATAATTCTAACCCAATCCAAACATAGGATAGGATACACAATTCAAAGGGTTCGTAGTCCTAGAGTTATTAGTCATGTGAATGTTAATCTAACTTAATTCAATCCGCCCAAACAAACATAGTCCTAGCGTGTTGTTTTATCGGTTAATACTTCCCAACTTAAAAATTTGCAGTATTTGGCTTTAGAACAAAGTGTTTTTTTCTTTAATCTTGTTCTGTTCTATTTTCTTCCAAAATCTTTCTTTTCTAGTACTGATCATTTTTAGCTTCTAAGTTCATTTCTAATGCTATTCTTAAATTGAGTTTAAGATTCAAAAATTCGAAAGGTACGACTGAAGGGATTGGACAAGTATATGTGAGGCCGAATTATCCATGTTTGATTTCAAAATAAGAGGCCGGGAAAAAATATTTGAACCGGTTACACAATTCTATGAGCATTCGATAAATCAGTGGTAATGATAATGCCTAACATTCAAAAGTTGTCAACGTAAGAATGTTGAATATTTTATTTAAAAAATTAACATAAATTTAACAAATATGATAATCAGTGGATTTCCTACAAGGAAAATTTTCTTTTATTTTTAATTCAAGCTGGAAGTGTATTTTGATGCTCCAAAGTATGCAGGGTAACTCTAAACAAGTTAGATCTAAGTTAAGATAATTAAAAAAATAAAAATTAGAAGCACTTTTTCCTAGCTTTTAGATAAGTAGCTCTTTTTTTTTTTTTGTTTTCTAATTTATTTAAATTATTATTATTTTTGTCTCATAAAAACAAAAATTGCAAAAACAATCTAACATAAATTTTTTATATTAAAAAAATATATAAGAAATTGAATTGGATTGATCCAAACCAATAAACTTGCTCCAAATAGAACCTTATAAGAGAATCATTATCAAGCTCATTAGAGCCTTTTCCTGGCTATTTTACAGTACAAAATCATAGAAACACACTCTATCAAACTCAATTCTTTGCTAGTTACTTTAGTTGAATATCAAACCATTAGCTACATGTAGCCGAGGAAAAAGAACTCAACAAATGAAATAAAGAATAAAGAGTTTATTGGAGAATGTATTTGAAAAGATGGCTCGCTAAAATAGAAAAATAGACTTTAGTTAAAATTATAATAAAATAAAAATTATAAAAAAAATAAAGATAATAAAAAAAAGAATATTTTAATGAAATAGAATTTTAGAATAGAGAATTTGATGGAGTGTGCACATAAAAAAGAGACTAGCTAAAATACAAAAGTGAATTTTAAGTTATAATTTAATTTAAATTTCGATGAGTTTGATGCAGATGCTCTAATCTTTCCAAATTTCATTTGAAATTTGAGTTTCATCTAAATTGTTCATCAAGCTGAATCAAGGAACAAATTATTTTTTTTTCATCACATTTCCCAACAAATTTAAATGAAACCCAAGGGAAATACTCATCATGTCTCATCATATTTCTCCATCACTTAAAATAAATAGTTAATATTTTTCCCTCTTCTCCAATCTTATTATTATAGAACACTATGTGATCGTACTCCCCACTATCGAATAAGGATTTTTCTTAAGTGTGCAACTTACACCTTACACTTACGCATTTCTGTTTGCTGCCCTGTTTTATGTTTACACCTTCCACTTACACCTTTTGTGTTGGTTGCATATGGTGTGCAACCTTAAGGGGTTGCACACCATAACAGCACTCATCGAATAATCACCCTATTAACAAAACCCTTAGTCATGATGGTTGGAAATGATTTATATCCTGTCTATGGATCCTCTTATATGAAATTGTAGAATTTAGATATCGTTCGACAACTATTTACTATAATCTAAAAGTAAAAAAGTCATTTAAAGAAAAACTAAAACCAACAAATTATACAAAACAGTTGAAAATTTCATTTTCTCTCTACTTTTTGCAATTTTTTTTTTATGAAAAAGTCAAAAGGTTATTCCAAATAATTTTTTTACTTCATATTTTAGTCAAAAAATTAAAAAAATTATTAAAATAGTTTGTTCCCAATTTTAATCATTCAAAGAAATTTTATTTTTTAGATCACTTTATAGAGATCATTCACAAAAAATAAAATAATAATAATAAAAAATTAAATCGATTTAATATACATAACTAAATAATTTTATCACATTTATTTTAAAAAAAATAAATAAAAAATATGTTAAAATTATGTAGTTACATATTAAATCAAATAAATCCGATATTTATTATGTGTGAATGATTTGCACAAGTAACTTTAGAAAATAAATAACTTGAACGATCCAAACAGAATCATAGTGTTTGAACAGTGCAATCCAATTCAATGACAGATGACAAGCACTTGTCATAATGAAAATATCACAGGATCGGAAGGTATTTGGGTGTGCAACAGGGCCGGCTCTGAGAGCATCTAGCATTGTTGTTGCTGTATTGGGGTAGTTATTGTTATAATTTGATAATGAATAATGTTATTTTGTCAAATTATAACAATAGCGTTTCAATAATCATTTGTTATTTTTGATAAATCTCAACCAATTTTCTTTTTAACTTTGTAGGTGTTGTTTGGATATATGTTTTTTGTGATTTTATTTTTGTTTATTTTTTTTGCCTTTTGTGATATTTTTTTACCTGTTTGTTAAAAAAATTATATATTTATATTATTCACAACTAGACAAATATAAAAAATTAAAAAAATGAAAAATTGAAAAAAAAAATTGTTTGATTAATTCACCCCAAACAAATATTGTAATTTTATATATTTGTTTGAAAAATTTGTATATTTGTTTGAAAAATTTGTTGGGCTCTTTTATATATTTGTTTGAAAAATTTGTTTAAAAGAGTTGTTGTAAAAATTTTATTGTAATTTTTTTTTTTTTTTGTTAAACAAACCAAACAGAGCGCAACGGCTCTTTATTACACTATTGAAATATATATGTTTTGATCAAGACAGATCAAGACAGATCAAAGCATCACTCTCTTCTCACTCTCTTCTCCTCCACGGCTCTTCCTCTCCCTCTCATTCTCACTCTTTCTCCTCTATGGCCGAAATCAAACACAGCACAAACCAAACCAAACAGAGCACAAGATTGGAACCCGATCTCCCCTTCTCCTCCAAGATCGGAACCCCCTCTTCCATGATCTCCTCCAAGATCGGAACCCCTTATCCTCCATGATCTCCTTCATGATCGGAACCCGATCTCCCCCTTCTCCTTCAAGATCGAAACCCCCTCTCTTTGGTTTCACTATGTCTCCCTCTCAATCCTTACCTCCGATCTGTGTACTCTCCGGAATAATGGTACAATCTCCATCTATATACATACTCATATATATATATATATATATATGTTTTGATCTGTCTTCATATATATATATATATATATGTATCAATTTTTTAATTTTGTCATGAATTTTGTCTTGATCTCCTTCTGTTTTGATTTTTTTTTTATTTGTTCCTTCATCAACATATATATATATATATGAATTTTTTAATTTTTTAATTTGATCTGTCTTTAATTTTTTGTATCTATCATGAACAATTTTTTGATTATCCGGTATACAGAAATTTGCATTGATATATATGTTTTGATATCTGAAATTGAAATTTGCTTGATTCTGAAAATTGGGTCTCCAACGGTCTGATTTTTGCTGATCTGGCAAGCTTGGCATCTGCCATTTCACTTGCCAAATTTGAGAACACATGTTAGAAATGGTTATAAAATTCTGGATAAAACCAGAATTTTTTCCTAAGTTCGGTCTATTTTTTAGGTGGGCCCCGAGTGTCGATTTACTCGGGTCAAAGTGGTAACGCGTTCTATGCCGCGTTGTGATTCACGTGGTATATTTGGTTGCTCAAAACCATTACCGAGTGAATGGAAAATTGAAGCCAAAGTGTGCTCCATGGAAATGGAGTTTTGGTGGAAATTCCTTAAGGTTGTAAATTGGCTTGTCCCACATTGATTTGGTGGGAAGTTTTGAAAGGGTTTA